CCCACGGTTTCATGAGCGATAACCCTTGAATTTTGACCATTTTTATGGTTTTAACCTATGGGTGTTTGCGTCGGGAACAAATTTTATTACAAAATTCATTACAAAAGTTTATTGAGTACAATGGAAACAAAAGAGTGAGCTTTGTGCTTTGTAAAACTTCTTTTTACAACAAAACAAGCTTAAGAGTGCTCCCTAGAAATACACGTAGGAACGTTTATCGTTCGCTGCTTACGTGAGATCTTTGCCTGTACCGAGGGTGCGTTAGTTCATAGACGACCGAATCACAGATCCAATTTGAATCGTGAAGAAGGCTTTGGAGTCGATGTTTCGTTTTAAAAACAAGGATAAAAGTGGATATCTCAACAAAGTGAGATAAAACACTCTTCTCAAGATCAAGTCAAAGCTTAGATCTCGAGAAAACAACGAAGGTTCTTGAGGATGCTTGAAAACAATGACGACTCTCTCTCTTGCTCAAAATTAGCCAAAAAGCTCAAGTCTCTGCCTAGAATCTGCTTGGTCCAGTACATATAGGTGTTAGGGAAGTATTTATAGCCCCTAGAAGCTGTAACTGAAGGTAGAAAGTCGAAACCAACGCTAACTGACAACCCATGTTTCCGAGACATTGTCCACTATCTCGGAAGAAGGGGTTGCTCCAACCCATTTTGTAACCGACATCCCCCCTTTAAATGCCATGATATCTGTAGTTATGGGTGAATTTTCCGTTTGTAACGGCCCTTCCACGTTCATAGGTGATCTCCAGCAGTTAAAAAGCCACGTGGTCCGCACGAAACTTGAAAAAACCGTCACAAAACAACGTTACACTGTCCCTAGTTTCCGAGACAGTTTTCGTGTCTCAGAAACAACATGTCGTCCCATAGCTTTCCAGACAGATTCCGTGTCTCAAAAACTGTAAGTTGTCTTATAGCTTTCCAGACAGATTTCGTGTCTCAAAAACTGTAAGCTGTCTCATAGCTTTCCAGACAGATTCCGTGTCTCAAAAACTATAAGCTGTCTCATAGCTTTCCAGACAGATTCCGTGTCTCGAAAACTGTAAGCTGTCTCATAGCTTTCCAGACAGATTCCGTGTCTCGGTTGAAGAAAATAGTTTGTACTGCCTTCGGTATTTTGACTTTAGTTTTTTCGTCCGACCTCAGAACGAGGTGATTCAAGTTACGTTGGAAAGTTGACGAAGAGACCTACAACTTTTGTGTTTTGAGCTTTTTTTTGGATTCGAATTGAATCATGGTCAAAATTTCAGTTCTTCATACTCGTGCGTCCATTTTCTTTTCGAATCATGCATTCTAAATCTCGTTGTTGCTTCGTTGCTTCATCGACTTGCTTCATATGCTTCTTTACGGCATTGGATGATCCCCTTTAACTCAGATGATGACGGTCATCGCCTTATCTTTATCTAGAACTACGTGTAGAAACCTATAGGTAATTTTTGACGCATACAATAGGCAACTAATTTCTCGAAAGGCTGGAATTCATAATTTTATGAGCTATAAATCACTATTTTTTGACATTTTAGTGCTTTTGATATGTTGGCAAATAATCTATCGGAAACCAAAATTTATAATTTTATGAACTATAACCCGCGAGTTTTGGCTGTTTTTAGGGGTTTCACATGTTGGCAAATAATTACTTGAGCTATAATTTATAATTTTATGAGCTATAATTCACAATTTATTTTAGCTATTTTTAATAGTTTTCGTAGGTAGGCAAATGATTTTTTTGAGGGCAAAAATTCACGATTTCAAGAGTTATAAACCATGATTTTTGGCTATTTTTAGTGGTTTTGATCTATAGGCAAACACCTTCCTGAAAGTGAAAACTCACGACATCATAAGCAATAAGCCATGATTTCTGGCCATTAAGTAGTTACGACCCGTTTCCAAATAATTTCACGGAGGCCAAAATTCCCAATTTAATGAGCTATAACTCATAATTTTTGATCATTTATAGTGGTTTCAACCTATAGGCAAATAATTTCCAGGAGGAAGAAATTCATAATTTCATAAGCTATAGCTCATGATTTTTCATCATTTTAATTATTTCGACCTGTTAGCAATTAATTTCCTTGAAGCCAAAATTCAATATTTCCTGAGTTATAACCACTATTTTTGGCTATTTCTAGTGATAGAAAGTAAATTTTTGAGAGGCAAAAATTCATGATTTTATAAGCTATAATCCATGATTTTTGGTCAATTTAGTAGTTTTGATCCTTCGGGAAATAATTTTCCGAAAGCGAAAACTCACTACGTCATACCATGATATCTGACCATTAAGTGGTTACGACCAGTTCCTAAATAATTTCATGAAGACCAAAATTCACAATTTAATGAGATATAATACTTAATTTTTACCATATTTAATGGTTTCAACATGTAAGCAAACAATTTCTAGGAGTAAAAAATTCATGATTTCATGAGTTATAACTCACGATTTTAAACCATTTTAAGTGGTTTCGACTAGTTGGCAATTAATTCCCTTAAAGAAAAAATTCATTATTTCATGAGTTATAACTAATAAATTTTGCCATTTCTAGTGCAGGCAAATAATTTTCTAAAGGTCAAAATTCACGATTTCATGAGCTATAACAAACGAATTTTTGCTAATTTTAGTGCTATTGATTTGTAAGAAAATAAATTCTCAAAAGCTTAAATTAATGATTTCATAAGCTGTAACCCACGATTTCATGAGCTATCATCCATAAATTTTGACCATTTTTATGTTTTTAACCAATAGGCAATTAATTTTCCGGATGGCCAAAATTCACAATTTCATGAGCTATAACCCACGTTTTTTTGTCTTTTATAGTGGTTTTGACTCATTAACAAATAATCTATCGGAAGCCAAAATTCATGATTTCATGAGCTAAAACTCACGATTTTTGTTTATTTTTAGGGGTTTCGACTCATTGGCAAATAATTACATGAGTTATAATTCACAATTTTATGAGTTATAATTCACAATTTTATGAGCTATAATCCACGATTTGTTGGCTATTTATAATGCTTTCCACATGTAGTAAAATAATTTTTTGAAAGGCAAAAATTAACGATTTCATGAGCTATAACCTATAACCTACGGTTTTTGCCCATTTTTATTAATTTTGACAAAATAGGAAAGAAGTTCAAAATTCCCCATTTTCCTGAGCTAACCCATTATTTTGTTCATCTTTGATCATTTCAACCTAATGGCAATAAGTATGCGGAGTTCAAAATTCATAATTTCATAAGTTATAATCCATGATTTTTGTTCATTTTTGTTCTTTTTAGCCAATGGCAAATAATTTTACGGGGTTCAAAATTCACGATTTCAGAAGCTATAATCTAACATTTTTGTTAATTGTTGTTTGTTTCGACCAAATGGTAAAGCATTGTGCATAGTTCAAAATTCACGATTTCATGATTCACAATTTCATGAGCTATAACCCACGATTTCTATTCATTTTTGTTCTTTTCAACCAAATAGCAAATAATTAAGCATGAGCACAATACAAACGATTTTTATAAGTTGTGACCTAGGTTTTTATCTATTTTTATTTGTTTCAACAAAATAAAAAATAATTAAACAAAGTTCAAAATTTGCGATCTTCATAAGCTATAACCAATGATTTTTGTTCAATTTCCGTTCGTTTACCATCTTCATAAGTGGTCCTATTCTATATCCCGTGCGAGGAAGCATTACTCCTCTTTTCATTCCAAATTCAAGCTGTAAACCTAGAATTTTTGTTTATTTTTATCTGTTTAGACCAAATGACAAATAACAAATGACAAATAATTATTAAGAATTCAAAATTCACAATTTCATGATGTATAATTCTCAAATTTTTTTCCATTTTCATTCATTTGTACCTAATAGTTTAAACAGAATTCAAAGTTCATGCATGGTTTTCATGAACTATAACCTATAATTTTTAGCCATTTTTGTCCGTTTTGATCCAATGGTAATTTAAGCTTTTGTTCCTGAAAGTTCACCATTTTCATGCTTTCACCATTTTCATGCTTTATAACCTTCGATCTTTGTCCTCTTTCATTTGTTTCAACCAAATGGTAGATAAATTAGTGTACTTCAAAATTCACAATTTTTTATGGGCTATAAAGCACAAATTTTTTTATTTTTTGTTGTTTCGTTTCATAAACGATCAAGTTTCTTTCCTCAAAATTCACCATTTTCGTGAATACCCGCGATGTTGTCCACTTTAATTTGTTTCAATCCATTGGCAATTAATTGGCGTACTTCACCTGAAAATCCTGGGAGCCCATGCCCCGATTTATTTTAGTTTTGCAAAGATTTTCCCAGTTAAGACAACGGAGCATCCGGTGTTTTCTCGTCCACAGCGCACGGCGTCGAGTCCTTCGCATAATGTTTTTGGAAGTGAAAAAGCACAACATGCCACAAGTTGGAATCACTTGGTCCACCGATCCTAACAAAAACCTTCCTCGGGCTTTCAACAACAATTTTTCCTTCCACCCTCGGATTTTCTTCCACGTTCTCAGATTTTCTTCCACATTTTTATCTTTCGAAACTCCAAACATTCTTTTTCGACGCCCTATCGTTGAAGGAAGTCCCAAATGCCCATCATACTCAACAATCTCTGCTTGATAGCATTTAGAACATTTGGACAGCAAAAACAAGAGAGGATCATTCTATGCTCACCACTCTACCCTGGGCCTCTTCATATAAATGAACTACCTCCAACAACTTTTTTGCATTCTGCTTCTGTCGCCCTGGCGAAACGCAGACCATCATCTGTAATGAAACAAAAGTGAGATGCAAGGGCCACTTTGACAAGCCGCTACACCACGGATAGACTTTTGTAAACTTCTGCTTGTCTAAGAAGACGAGGGAATCCCTCAGCGCATAAGATGAATACGTATGGGCTCGAAGGATCTCCTGATCGCAGGCCTCTAGGTAGGATCCTTTTCCTGGTTGAAACACCATTAATTAGCAGTGAGTAGGAGATATGCCTTGAGATACACAATCCAAGAATGCGGAAACCCCATCCGATTGAGAAATCATTCAATGATGTTAAGTAGACAAGATTTTCACCAAAATGAATAAGGAAAGCAATTCAAACATCTGAAGCCTTTTCCAATTCAAACATCTGCAAATGTCCGTTACTTCTTGCGAGCTCTCGCAGTTTTTGAGCAGCAGCATTAAGAGTTGCATCACTCTTGCAGAAAGAAAACCTTACATATCTGTTGTGATGTTTCTCGCCATTGTTACATGCTGAGTGAAAGAATCCAGAACCAGGTACAGCCGCTACACCGGCTTTCTTTATTAGTTCTCTAACAAAATCAGCCTGCACAATTCAGTAATTATTTAGCTTAGGAACAACCAATTTTCTTTATTAGTTCTCTAACAAAATCAGCCTGCACAATTCAGTAATTATTTAGCTTAGGAACAACCAAAATATAGTTTAGGCAATGAAGGATTGTCAGCCTGCACAATTCAGTAATTATTTAGCTTAGGAACAACCAAAATATAGTTTAGGCAATGAAGGATTGAATTTATTTTTCTGTTCAAGAACAATCACAACATATATTTATAACAGTACATGGTACCGAAAAGGGCAGGATTACTACGTATAATCACAAGTGAGAGAACACTGTATGCTCTCTAGGTATGTTCTAATAAATCATTTTTATTTAAAACAGATCATCTTGCTGCTGAGAACTGACATTTTGAAGAATAGTAATTTGGTAGCTACAAACATCAAGCCTGAAGAAATTAAAATTGTTGTGGTAAGAGAAAATGCATACAACTGAATTCCCCAGGTAAAACTAATGTCTTAGGAGTCTATTGATTCAGTGAGTCGATGATTATTTTTTACAACTGACAGCTATTATGTTATGCTATTTTATCCGCCAGTTCTATCAGTAGATATTGATATGGAAGTTTTTCCCAGAATATAGGCTGCCTAACATTTTAAAATTGGGATAGAAATTCAAACATAAATCAGTAGTTGAATTGACTATAGGATCAGTAGTTGACATGCCTAAATTAATTATCGATGATTAAAAAATATCACTCAAAGGGCCTTAGTACAATCAAATTGCAAAAATATCTTAACATGAAATAGTAATCGCAATTAGACTGCATAACTTACACAATTTTTCAAAAATACAGTAGGCACTAAGAGGGTCCACATCATATTTAATTTTTAGAAATATTTGGACATGAATGTGTACTAATAGGTCAACAATTCAATATTGTCTGGTATTTGCACATAAAAAAATGAGACGAACTAGTTGTTCTCATATAAAAATATGAAAGACCATGGAAGACTGAGAAAATAAAGAAAGATTACTGATAAATAAACATACATCGGAAAGTAACCAGGTCTCGGGAAGCTCCGTGAACACAAAAAATGATCCCTGTGGTTTGAATCGAATTTGGAGACCAAGAGAAGCTAAAACATCAACAATGTAATCTCTCTTCCTCTCATAATCCTTCAAGATTAGGAATTATTACATAGGCTCAATCCGTTATATGAACAATCAACAATCTTTTACTAAGAAAAATAATTAGCACTTACTTGTTTTAAAGACTCGAAGTATGCCGGTGCACTTTTCAGGGCAGTTAATGCAGCTTCTTGAAAAGGAGCTGGCGCTGAATCTGTAATTTTGACATGAATGTTCCTTATTGCTGATGCTATGTTAGCTAAAGCACAAGACCAACCAATTCTCCATCCTATTAAGATATTTACAAACAGTAGAATTGATTACTGAAAGTGCAAAGGAAGGACAATAGTATTACTTAAGAATTAGAAAACAAAAACTGACAGATAAAGGAAGTAGATGTTGTCATAAAACGGTTAATTTCAGAAAGCTGGAAACAATATAGTTTATGTCAAAATTAGATGAAGGATACTACAAAACCGAAATCAGATAGACGAAAAGAACTAGATTACTATTACTATCTACCTGTAACACTAAAAGTCTTAGACAGGGATGAAGTGATAATAGTCCTCTCTTGCATTCCAGGAAGAGAGGCAAGAGATATATGCTTTTTCGCATCAAAGGTTATATACTCATAAACCTGAAAGAAGCATACAAATCATAACCTTAGTGGAAGTACAAAAAAAAATTGTAGAATTAATAGTTTCCGCACATTCCCAGTGAATATGTAATGGTTTTGGATTGGTTTTCCATGTAAATGCAGGTAAACGTCGTAATTAGTATTTTCAATGCAGTTTATTGAAAATAAACAGAATAAGAAACATATACTTCATCTGTAACTGCAAAGCAATCCATTTCACAACAAGCCCCAGCAATGGCTTCAAGCTCTTCCATGCTGAAAACTTTGCCTGTTGGATTGTGAGGACTGCGCTATTATCAATTAGTTTTTACACATCATAAAGCTTTGAACAAATTTATAATATCTTTATACTTTCGTGTATGTAAGATGATACAGGTGTCTGATTATTTGTCTCTTGGCAACATCAGTGACTATAAGGTACAAAATGAATAATAAAAGTTTGGGTTAGTTGTTGATTCCCTCCGTACTACACAGAGTTGGTTACTTCTTATAAGTTTAAGGGCATTAAATGGCTAATCCCATATTATGTAGAGTGTTTATATGCAATTAACCCTAAAAGTTATTTCAGTTGGTGATGAGTACCAACCTGTTTAGAACCAAGGCTTTCGTTCTGCTTGTAAAAGATTTTCTCAATCTATCTTAAATACACTTGGTGGAGATTGTGCCACATCATTGTATATGAGAGAATCCTCTCATATGACATATGATACTCATTAATCTCATATATATATGAGAAATATGGGTATGCTTGGTACCAAGCACAAAAAGTTGTGCTTGGTAGTGAGGTGTCTTAAGGGCATTAAATGGCTAATCCCATATTATGTAGAGTGTTTATATGCAATTAACCCTAAAAGTTATTTCAGTTGGTGATGAGTACCAACCTGTTTAGAACCAAGGCTTTCGTTCTGCTTGTAAAAGATTTTCTCAATCTATCTACATTCAAAGCCCAATGCGGTGGATCCAAGGGCACATATACCTGAAATATGAAAATAAAAAAATCATTTCTGTTTTATTTCAGATCTTTGAAGTATTTCAAGCCAAAAATGAGGGGAAAAAAACTCACAGGAACCCCTCCGGCCAATCTTATACAGGTCTCGTATGTCTCAAAAGCAGGATCCAATATCAAAACCTCATCACCTCGATCAATTACTGTCACACAATCAATCAAATCTGGCAAAAAAATACACAAAAAAAGCAAGAAAAAATGGCAATAATAAGTACTTGCAAACATTGTCGCAGCAAAAGCCTCAGTCTGGCCACAACATATCACTATGTTTGTATCAGGGTCTATATCCAAACCATGGCTCGATTTCATTCTGGTTGCCAGTAGGTCGCATATGCCTTGCACGTGACTGAAACCAAAGTAAATAAGAAATTTTCTAATTATGAAAGTCTAATTAGCACAAGTCTACGCAAAAGTCGTGGGTGCATCATGGGTTATACCAAAGCTTAATCCATTGTCACTAGGTTGAAAAAATCAAAAATGGACAAAAATCATGACTAGCTCATGAAATCACGATTTTTAAACTTCATAAAGTTATTTGCCATATAGTCGAAAATAAACGAAAATGGACAAAAAAGCATGGCTTATAGTTCATGAAATCGTGAAATTTGAATTGCGCTTAATTATTTGCCACTAGATCAAAACGAACAAAAATTGATAAAAATCGTGGGTTATAGCACATGAATCGTGAATTTTGAACTTTGTAAAATTATTTGTCATTGGGTCAAATGAACAAAAATCGTGATTTATAGCTCATATAATCATGAATTTTGAATTCCGCAAAATTATGTCATTAGGTCAAAACAGATGTAAATGGACAAAAGCTATGGGTCATAACTTATAAAATCGTTAATTTTGAACTTCGCTTAGTTATTTGCCACGAGGTCGAAACGTACAAAAATGGACAAAAATCGTGGCTTATTCATGAAATTGTAAAATTTAAACTTCACTTAATTAATTCACATTGAGTTAAAATAAATAAAAATGGAAAAATCATAGGTTATAGCTCATCAAATCGTAAATTTTGAACTCCACAAAATTATATGTCAAAATTGCACAAAAGTAGACAAAAAATCATAGCTTATATCTCATGAAATCATTAATTTTGTGCTTTACATAATTATTTGTCATTGGGTTGAAAAGAAAGAAAATGATTAAAACCATGCCTTATAGCTCTTGATATCATAAAATTTGAAATGTGCTTAATTAATTCACATTGAGTCGAGATGAACGAAATGGACAAAGGGTTCATGAGATCGTGATTATTGAACTCCAATTAATGATTTGAAACAAACAAAAACAGCCAAAAATCGTGGCCTATAGAACATAAAATCATGACAATTGAACTTTGCTTAATTAATTCACATTGAATTGAAATGAAATGAAATATACATAAATCATGGGTTATAGCTTACGGTGAATTTTGAACTCTGCAAGATTATTTGCCGTTAATTCAAAATAATTAAAAATGAAAAAAATCGTGCCTTATAGCGCACGAAATCGCAACTATTAAACTTCGCAAAATTATTAGTCATTGCATCAAAACGAACGCAAATGGACAAAAATCTTGACTTATAGGTCATGAAATCGTGAAGTTCGAACTTCGCTTAATTAATTGCCATTGAGTTGAAATGAATGAAATGGAAAACTCATGAGTTATTGGTCATGAAATCTTGAATTTTCTACTACGTAAAATTATGTAATTGCGTCCAAATGAAAGAATATCGACAAATCGTAAATTATAGCTCATAAAATAATGAATTCAAAACTCCAATTAATTATTGGCCATTTGGTCAAAACAAATAAAAAATAAATAAAAATTGTAGATTATAGCTCATAAAATTGTAAATTCTAAACTATGCAAAATGATTAGTCATTCGAACCAAATGAACAATGGACAAAAACCATTGGTTATAGCGTATGAAATCGTGAATTTTGAACTCTACATAATTATTTACTATCGGGTCGAAACGAACGAAAATGAACAAAAATCGTAAATCATAGCTCATGAAATCCTAAATTTTATTTTCACAAAATTATTTCCCACTGGATGGAAACGAATGAAAAAATGAACAAAAATCGAAGGTTATAATTTATGAAATTGTGAATTTTGAACTTCGCAAAATTATTTGACAATGAGTAGAAACAAAGTAGGCAAAATTAATGTGTTATAGCTCATGAAGTCATGAATTTTAAACTGCGCAAAATTATTTGTCATTAGCTTTGAATGAATGAAATGAACAAAATTTGTAATCGTGAATTCTAAGCACTGCAAACTTATTTGTCATTAAGTCAAAATGAATGAAAATTGATGAAACTCGTGGTTATAAGGCATAAAAATCATGAACTTTGAACTCTATCATTAGCTAAAATGAACAAAAAAATAGCGAACTCTAGCTCATGAAATCATGAATTTTAAATTCCGCAAAACTATTAGTTATTGGGTCAAAATGGATAAAAATCGTGACTTACAGCTCATGAAATCATGAAATATACACTTCGATTAAATAATGGTCATTAGATCGAAATGAACAAAAATCATTGAGTTATAGCTCATGAAATCGTGAATTTTAAACTTTGCAAAAGTCATGTTATAGCCCATGAAATCATGGATATTGAATTTCGCAAAATTATTAGCAATTGGGCTTAAACAAACAAAAATGGATAAAACTTGTGACCTATAGCTCATAAAAACATGAAATTTAAAACTTTGATTAAATAATGACAATTGGATCGAAACAAATGAAAATTTATGAAAATCATAAGGTTATAGCTCATGAAATCGTGAATTTTAAACTCTGCAAAAATCATAGGTTATTATTCATGAAATCATAAATTTTGAACTTCACAAAATTATTGCTATTGCTTCAAAAATGAACGAAAATGGTCAAAAATCATATGTTATAGATCATGAAAATTGTAAATTTTGAATTCCGCATAAATAATTTTCATTATATTGAAACAAACAAAAATGTACAAAACTCTTGGCTTATAGCTCACGAAATCATAAATTTTATATTCAGCAAAATTATAAGCCAATGGGTCAAAACAAACGAAAGTCGACAGCAATCTTAGCTTTGTAGCCCATGAAGTCCTCATACACATAATTATTTGCTACTAGGTTATAACTCAACATTATTAGTCATTGGACCAACACGACCAAAAATGGACAAAAATAGTGAAAATATAGCTCATAATCGTGAAAACTGAAATTGTCATTGGATCGAAATGAATTAAAACGAATAAAAAATAATGGTTATATCGCATGAAATCATGAACTTTGAACTCTACAAAATTATTTACCACAACGTCGGAATGAATGTAAATGGAAAAAAATTATGGGTTATAGCTCATAAAAATTATGAATTTTGAACCGCACTTAATTATGTGTCATTGGGTTGAAACAAATAAAAATGAACAAAAATTGTATATTATAGCTCATGAAATTGTTAATTTTGAACTTCACCAGATTATTAGCCATTGGGTCAAAACGAACAAAAATAGACAAAAGTCTAGACTTATAACTCAAAAAATTGTGAACTTAAACTTTATTTAATTAATTGTCATTGAGTCAAAATGAACGAAAATGGTAAAAAATCATTATAGGCCATGAAATCTTGAATATTTAACTTCGCAAAATTATTTGACATTGCATCCAAAGGAAAGAAAATGGACAAAATTTATGAGCTATAGCTCATAAAATCGTGAATTTTGAACTCCACTTAATTATATGTCATTGGGTTGAAACAAACAAAAATAAAAATAAAATTATTGGTTATGGCTCATAAAAAAGTGGAAGAGCCATAAGACCAGACGATATCCCTATTGAATTTTTGAAATGTCTTGTTGATATAGGCTTAGGATGCTTAACTAAACTATTTAATAAGATTATCGAGACGAAAAGAATATCGGACGAGTGAAGGATTAGTACTTTGATACCGATATATAAGAATAAAGGATTATACAAAGTTGTTCAAATTATGGAGGTATAAAACTCACGAGTCATACTATGAAACTTTGGGAGAGTGTAATTGAGCAAAGATTAAGAAAAAAAAGACAAATATATCTGAAAATCAATTTGGTTTTATGTCTGGGTAAGCAACTATGGAACCTATACATATCTTGAGACGTTTGATGGAGAGATATAGAGAGAAGAGAAATGACCTACATATGATTTTTATCGATCTAGAAAAAGCTTATGATAAAGTACCTAGAGAGGTAATGTGGTGGGTGTTAGAAAAGAAGTATGTATCTAATATATATTGATGTGATTAAAGATAAGCATAATAGAATAACAACTATAGTAAGAATTAATGAATGAAAGACTAAACCATTTCCTATTACCATAGGTTTACACCAAGAGTCAGCTTTAAGTTCTTATCTTTTTGTATTAATTATGGACCAACTTACTAAGCACATTCAGGATGAAATCTCATGATGTATGTTATTTACCGATGATATAGTATTAGTTGATGAAACTTGAAGATGTATTATTTCTAAAGTAAAAAGATGGAGACGAGCTCTTGAATCTAAAGGTTTTAGAATTAGTAGAACAAAAACAAAATATATGGAGTGTATTTTTAGTAAAACTAGGAAAGGAAGAGAGTCTATGGTACATATTGATGGCCAAGAGATACCTAAAACTAACTATTTTCGTTATTTAAGATCAATCATTAGGCATGATGGTAAGATAGAGGATGATGTTATGTATCGAATCATATCGGGATGGTTGAAATGGAGGAGTACTTCAAGAGTCTTATGTGATCGTAGAATACCAATGAAACTAAAGAGAAAATTCTATAGAACGGTTATAAGACCAACTATGTTTTATGGGTCAGAGCGTTAAGCAATTAAGAAACATGTTTAAAAAATAAGTGTAGCAGAAATGAGAATGTTACGATGGCCTTGTGGGTATACATTAAAAGGTAGGATAAGAAATGAGTGCATCCATAGTAAATTAGAGGTTATGCCTATTAAGGATAAAATAAGAAAGAATAGATTAAGATGGTTTGGTCATGTATAACGGAGACCCCTTAGTGCACCGATTAGAAAAAATAATAATATTAGAGTTAATGAGACCAAGAGATCTAGAGTTAAACCTAGAATGACTTGGTTAGAAGCAATTAAGAAGGATATGATTAAGACTAACTTAACAGAAGAGATGACCTATAACAGAATGGAATGAAAAAATATGATTCATGTAGCCGACCCTAAACATATGAGATAAAGACTTGGTAGTTGTTATAACTCATGAAATCGTAAATTTTAAACTCTGCTAAATGATTAGCCATTCAGTCCAAGCGAACAATAATTAAGGGTTATAGCTCATGAAATCATTAATTTTGAAACCCCACATAATTATTTGTCATCGGATCCAAACAAATAAAAATGAACAAAAATTGTGGGCTACAACTCATGAAATCATGAATATTGAATTCCACGTAAAATTTTCCCTCTTAATCGAAACAAACAAAAATGGTCAAAAATCGTATGTTTACAGCTTATGAAATCATGAATTTCGAACTCCACTTAATTATTTGTCATTGAGTCGAAACGAACGAACATGGACAAAATCATAGGTTCTCATGAAATCGTGAATTTTGATCTCCGTAAAATTATTTGCCCTTGCGTTAAAATGAACAAAAAATAGAAAAAACCTAGGGTTAACTCATGAATCGTAAATTTTGAACTCTACATAATTATTTATCATGGGTCAAAATGAACAAAAATCATGGGTTATAGCTCATATTATCAAGAATTTTGAACTCGATAAAGTTATTTAATATTGTGTGAAACAAACAAAAATCGATAAAAAAATTTAAAATTCGTGAATTTTGAGCTCTGCTTAACCACTTGTCATTGGTTCGAAACAAACGAAAATAAAAAAGATCATCGATTATAATGCATGAAATAGTAAATTTTGAATTTTACAGAATTATTAGCCATTAGGTCAAAACAAACAAAATGGACAAAGATTGTGAATTATACCTAATGAAATCGTGAAATTTGTACTTCGTCTATATAATTGTCATTAAGTAGAAAAGTGCGTAAATGAATAAAATCATATGTTATTGCTCGTGAAGATCATGAATTTCGAGCTCCGCTTAATTATTTGTCATTTGGTCAAAACAAACAATGAACAAAAATCGTGGGTTATAGCTCATCAAAATCGAGAATTTTGAACTCCACAAAATTATTTGTCATTGAGTAGAAACGAAAGAAAATGAATAATAATTGCGAGTTATAACTCATGAAATCTTGAATTTTGAATTCCGCAACATTATTTGTTATATAAGATCTAAACAAACGAAAATAGACAAAAAACTTAGCTTATTACTCATGAAATTGTGTAAATTGAACTTCTTAATCAATCGCCATTCGGTTGAAAAATGATAGGATGGACAAAAATCATAGGTTATAGCCTAAATTGCATGGAAACAAGTATAAGCACTAGTAAGAGTGCAGGTACAGGTAAGTGACAAGGCAAAATTGTAAGATATATGATATGGGGACGTGTGTGTGTGTGTGCGTGTGTGTGTGTGTGTGTGTGTGTATATATATATATATATAAAAAACTTAGCTTATTACTCATGAAATTGTGTAAATTGAACTTCTTAATCAATCGCCATTCGGTTGAAAAATGATAGGATGGACAAAAATCATAGGTTATAGCCTAAATTGCATGGAAACAAGTATAAGCACTAGTAAGAGTGCAGGTACAGGTAAGTGACAAGGCAAAATTGTAAGATATATGATATGGGGACGTGTGTGTGTGTGTGCGTGTGTGTGTGTGTGTGTGTGTGTATATATATATATATATATATATATATATATATATATATATTTGAATTAATAATGTACACGAGATCATTATTTTTTTACTTCATGTGCCATTAGAATTAAACTTCCGATCATATTTTTAAGTTTCTTTTATTACATTGATTATTGTAAATTGAAAACTACTCATTTTTTAAATTGGACACCTAAACAACCCTTTAAATTTATAATTTTTAACTTGAGCATGGGTTGAAACAAACCCGGCCCCATATTTACCTACTTTCAAGAAATGGATTTGAAGTGTAAGCTATATGTCCAAGAAGGGTTAGCAAGTGTTTTAAATTAAAACATATATGATATAATTAAGTACATGTCGTAATAAATGCATGCATATATTGAAATGGTGTCCGTGAAGTTTGGTTACAAGAACATGTCGAGAATGGGTATGGCTTCTTAATAGAAGTACCTGGGTAATATAGGTTATAGCTCATGAAATCGTGAATTTTGGTCTCCACTTAATTATTATTATTGGGTCAAAAAGAACAAAAATGGACAAAAATTATAGGTTATAGCTTAAACTCATGAACCGTTAAATTTGAACTTTGCTTAATTAATTCATATTGGGTTGAAACGAACGAAAAAGAAAAAATCATTGGTTATGGCTTATGAAATCGTGAATATTGAACTCCACAACATTACTTGTCATTATGTCGAAATGAATGAAAATGTAAAACAAATCGTGGCTTATAGCTCATGAAATCGTGAATTTGAACTCCATGTAACTATTTCCCATTGGGTCAAAACAAATGAAAATGAAAAAACAAACAAACAATTGCTTATAGCTCATGAATTGCGAAATTTGAACTTTGCTTAATTAATTCACATTGGATCTAAACGTGAATATTATTAGAGTCAAATAAGCACAAAATCTACATAAAATTTTCTGAAATTGTCATGTATATCCTGAGTTGTTTTGTAGCACTTTCATACCCACATTTTTACCCTCGAGTTTAGTTAAGGGTGTCAGGTTTTATGGTCAAAATACTCTTCTTCCCTAGCTTCTTCCTCTTCAATCCTCATTCATCTATGGATAAAACTTCAGAAATCCGAAGTTTAAAAATTATAGAAACTCCCTAAATGATGAGTTTCAAATAACCTGCCTTAACTTTCAAAAACGTTCCACCTATTTAAATACCTTTCTTTAAAAAATAAATATAAAACCCCCTCTCTTGGAAAATCCGTAAAATAAAGCTCCTAATATTTTCCTGTTTTCCTTTGTCCACTCGTCCTCGACAAACTTCAGAAAGGAAATTACCCGAAAGTTCAAGTAGAACGTTTCAAAAGTACAAGGGTTTTGTGAAACTGGCTAAACTTCAGTGGGTTTTCTCTAATTTCATCAAAGTTCAGAGGGTTTTTGTGCAAGCCACCCCAAAAATCAGGGAGTCCTGTGAAATTTACTCTCCGAACCCACAATCAAATTCCCTCCTTTTTCCCCTTCCTCCTCCTAAAATCCTCTCTTCTAGCATTTAATCAACAGAAGCTGCATACCGCAGATAACTATTCAGAGTGCACACATGCAAAGTATGGAAACTTCGAGGTACTTATGTGCTAATTAGCGATTATTCAAAGAAAAGGAAAGAACATGGGCAATCTTTTAGTACCTGTACTGATTGAGATCGGAGTTGATGGCGGAGACGGCGGCGTTCTTGATGTGGGCCGGGGCGGCGAAGTCCGGGAAGCCCTCGGCCAGGTTGATGGCGCCGCATCGCTGGGCGAGATGGGAGAGTTCTTGGATTGGGGATGGGGTTAGGGTTTGAGAAATCTTTGAGAGTCTTTTCTCCATCTGATGGCTTCTTTGTTTTCGTGTTTCGAGAGGCTGCGGCTGAATTGGGGAGATAATATGCTCCGGCTCACATTTTCAACCATTTCATATTGGACCCTTCAAGTATTTAGTAATTTCATACTGGTCCCTCAACTATTTGAAATTGCTGAATGACACCCAATCCGGAGGAGTGCTGCAGTTTGGTCCCCCAGTAACCAAAATACTGATTTTGCTACAGATTAGCTTCGGTGGGAGAAATATAAACTGAGGTGTAAGTTAGCTGGTTTTTCATAACTTCAGTATAATACACCTCATTTTCAAACTTTTGTAGAGTTATTTTCAGAAAACCCCTCCTAAACTTAGAGGGTATTGCAGATATAACACCTAAACATTATTTATTCGAGAAACCCCCGTGAACTTTGAGGGCGTTGTAGATACTCCCGAACTTTGGAGAGTTTTTCATGTAATTGCATGTAGATAACAAATGACAAATTTTGAGGTTTTTTTTTCTTCTTCTTAATTGCAAGCTATAGGTGAAGGATCTATTGAAATTGTTAAAATTCAGATGATTTTGTGAGACACCACAAAATCTAGGAGAGTTACGCGTGATAAAAAAATTCAAAAAAGTTATGTGAAATTAATAAATTCTGGGGGGTTATGTGGAAACTGTCCTTGGGGCTGTTATGAGAGATTAAACTTTTTTAACTCTTTCTAAAAAGATTTTTTTTTTCTTTTTGGTCTAACATGCTCCTAAAAGTGAAAGAGTTTAAAAAAAAAATCATTCTGGGACTCTACTTGCAAATGTAAAACGAAAAATGTCTTAAGAACCCAAAATATGGAACCAAGTGAGGGGACAGATGAGATGTCTCCTCCCTATTGTATAATGAGCTGGTCATGCCAACTCATTATGCAATAGGAGGGGAACATCTCAACCGTCCCCTCCAATGGTCCCATATTTTGGGTTATTGTAGCAGCGCTCATGTAAAACTCGATTTAAAATAAACAAACTGTGTTCTAAAAAGTGCCGTAGGCAAACACCTAGGCATAGGCGAGCCTCTGGCCACCTAGATTTGGCTGCTACACTGAAAAGAGAAATCTCTCTCTCTCTCTCTCTCTCTCTCTCTTCTTCTCTCTCTCTCTCATATTCAACGATGCAACCCTACTCTCCTCTTTCCTAACCTATCTCTCTCTTTCTCTCTTTGACAACAGCGACGAAGAACTCTCGCGGCGCCGCCAGCCAGCCACCACTCCCTCACCGAAGACTCGTCCGACCCGACGACCCTCCACCCCCTCCTTTTCAACGAACTCGCGCATTCCGCTCGCCGCCACCACTCTCTCTCGACGAAGCCGACCACTCCCTCCTCTTGACGAGCCCCTCGCCACCGTCGCCACTGTCTCTCGATGAAGCTGTCAATTTTACATTTTTGTTTTAATTTATTCACTGTTTTAACTTATTATAATTATTTAATTTGAAAAATAGGAAAACACCTAGGCACCGCCTAGGCGTCCATCTAGGCGTCTAGGCGCTAGGCCTCGTCCTCGAACGCCTAGTCCACCTAGCGCTTTTAATAACATTGACTACAAAGGATCCTATGCTCCGTTTAGTAGGAAGTTTTAGGAGGAAAGTGAAGGCAAGATAAGGTGCAAAGAGGTGGAGAGATTGATATCACTTTTAGCCTTTACGTTTAGCTGGAGGGAGAAAAAGGGAGGTGGATGATTTTGTAGTTTACTTTTCTCTCCTCTTATGTCATCTCCTCCAATTTGGCGGGTTCTTCTCTTTGTAATCTTTAATTAATTTTTCATTGTCTCTCATCTCACCTCACCTCACCTCACTTTTTAAAAAATTTCTATCAAATATAAAGTTTAGTTTTTTTGTCTTACCTCTAGAGATGCAAAAAAAAATGTATCTAAGAAAATATCTACATTTGTGTCCGTATATGGATGTGAAGTGGAATAGATTTGGTTACTAAAATTAATATCTGATATGATGTGGTTATATATATGGAATATATAGTGAAATATTATGATCCATATATGAAATATCTAAATATATGTTGGCCATATAGTTCCAACGACTTTAAGGATTTGGATCCACTCCACTGTAAAAAAAATAGTGGAGGAAACACTATATAATCACAACTACTGATTATCTAGCGGGTGTATATGATTTTTTTTGAGTGCAAATTAGAATGAGAGCAATAAGGTGAGTGTTAGATTTAGAAATTTTAATCCTTAGATTAATAGATTTGAGGTTAAATTTTTATGAACAAGAGTTCTCGCCTTAGATAATAGATCTAACATATTAATGAACTCACTTCTATCATATGAAGTATATTTTTTTTCACTATTATCCGGTGTTGTGCGCGGAAGCTTGTGCTTCGAGGAACCAAAACAAACGCCCAGAGAGAAGACTAAACAAACCAAAATAACAGTAAAAACACAAACAACAAATTTTACGTGGTTCCGCAAGTTGCCTATGTCCACGGGGCAAGAAGGGGATGAGGTTTTTACTAATAGAGAAGAAGAGTACAAACTGAGATTACAAATCACTCAAACTCACCAATTAATCTTACCAACAAAGCTCTTAATCTTTTAAACAAAATCTTAACCAATAGCTCCAGAAAATACATCTTTTCTGTGCTCCAAATATCCCCTTTTCCACTCACCAAAACCCTAAAACGTGTTTAGGATTATATATCAACACAAAACCAAATCAAAATAGGAAAACTCAAAACTGGGTCTGACCTGATTGGCGGTCGACCGCCCAAAGATCGCGGTCGACCGCGACTAACGGTAGAACCCAGAAAACAATTACAGAGTTCGACAGTCGATCGCGGCAGTCGACCGCACCCAACTCCAGACTATCGGGTTTGATTAGAGGGTTTGGCGGTCGACCGTGGTGAATCATACCCAGGGTTTGTACACGTATTCGGTCGACCGGTCTTGCACCGCGGTCTACCGAACAACCCCAAAACCAGCTCCATGTGTCCAAAATTCCAGTTCTTCACCAAACCCTTCGCCAAATCTACATCCGGTTCCTCTTACATCCTTTTTAAATCAGCATGCATATTCATATTCATATTCAATTTTAGCAGAGATATGAAGATACACCTTCCTTACCTAGGCATTTCTATATTCGTATCCGCGGTTGTAAGCTAACATGAGCATAGTAATCATCTTAGCCGAACCGTTTGCACCCCCGCTCACCTCCCTTCATACCTAATCATGTCTTAATTGCACTGGCGATGAAATTCGCCCCACGCACCCTCAAAACCCCACGTGCAGTTCCTCAAAACCTCGATTTCCCGCGCTGTTTAATGCTATACTTGTTGCTCCCCTTCATCCTCTGCCCGGTTCCTTTTGGTGACAACCCCCACACGATCAGTCCTTTGCTCTGTCTGACACGTGCCCATGAAAGCCGCAATTAAGCATCCTCGTACCAATAAAAAAACGTTATCGCATGTTTTCAATATATATATATATATATATAATTTATAATACTCTTCTCATTGCCGCCCAAAATTCTGCATGACGAGCCAATCTCCCAGCAACAAGTTTCCACCGCCTGATATCCATTGTGCAGACACGTGTCCTCCTCTGGTTCTTCCTCCTCCTCCACCGCCCTCTCTATCTCCGGCGAAATTTCAAATACCCGAAACTTCAACACTAAGCAAACCCCTCCTATAACCCACAGCACACTCGGGCTGGACACAAACTGCTCAGGATGGAGTCTTTCTTCCGAGGCTGCGCTCTCCCCGCCCAGCGCCGAACTCCTCCAAGAGCTCCGCTCACCGCTTCCCCGCGAACGCAGCCGCTCCTCCTCAAACCCTGATCGACCGCGTCTTCGCCCACTACCATGGATATTACCATGAATAAGCTCCGCCTCGCCCGCAAGAGATGTATTGCTGATTATTCTCTCCCTCGCTGGTACGAACCCCTACGAGGCCACACTTTCCTCTGCGATCACCGGCTTGGAAACCGGTCAATGGCCTTCTTGCCCTCCTCGCCAGCCTTCGAGTCTGCTCCTCTCGCAAAGCAGCTAAATCGCGCGATGGAAAGTTAAAGGCAGGAGGCCAGGCCGCCTCAGCCGCGAAGGGAGGCTGTCAGAAGGAGGATTGGCGGAGGGTGCAGGATAGGCGATGGCGAGTTGCGCAGAGGTGCTCGGGCTCATGCGCGGGGCCCGCGGACGCGGGAAAACGCGTCAGGCTGTCGAGACGGTGCTCGGGTCGCTCAGGGTTCTGGCAGGCGTCGACGCAGATGCTGAGCGTGTTGGAGGACGGTGAACCGGGCTTGGTGGAGATCACTGACGCGCGGCACCAGACGGCGGATTCATCGGCTCCGGGCGCGCAGCCTGCCACTTCCGCATTCGCGGTCAGATGGTGGTGCGAGCGGCGGCGTGGGCAGCGCACACGCTTGCGGAGTCGAGGAAGAGCAGTCGCCGACGACCACAGCTGGTTTGGGGGAGTCCCTTAGTCGTCAGCTGAATAAGACCAGAGCATCAAGGCTTTGGTTTGAGTTAGGGTGTTTAGGTTGTCAAGAGTCGAGGGTGTTTGAATGAGTTTCCTTGTTTTCGAGCTACAAAGTGTGCACTGGTGTTTGAATGAGTTGTAACTCTTTGTTTGTCTTTTCTCTCGATCTCCAGGGGGTTATCCGCACTATAATGATTGCTCAACTACAATATCAGTACATATATTATTCTCAACAAAAGTAATAAGCAAAGAGGAAAACTGGATTTGATTCCGGAAGAAATTGTAAGTGTAACTATAATCAATTTTCAGATCATAGTTGTTCGTTGCAAAACAATATAATTGTTCAAACAAATAGAGGAAACCACAACAGACTCTTACAAACTGTAAAAGCCATAGTGACAGGTTTCCTGCGCATAAAGCAACTCATACATTCATTTTAGTTTTTCACTCAATTCATTAAAGCAACAATTAATTTAGTCTGAACTTAAATACAGTTCTGAAATTAAAATTCTGATTGATCTCCATGAGTCTCACAAACTATCCACATAAAACCCCTCACATTATAACAGGATGAGGATAAATGACACCTTTATCTGTTCTCTTCCTTCAAGAAATCAGACTAGCGGAGGCTGATTATACTTGGTTCTGCAGTGTAATAGCTGTGTGCATGAAACCCAAGAACTGTACCAATTGTAGGCATACAAAACCCTCACCCTCTTAATCTAAGAATGCTGCCAAAGGTTCTCTGTGCTCTTTATTCTCAAGATAAAAGCATAAAAAAAGGACTTCCGTTCAATATGGTTATTCATGGCATGAATCAAAGTTTGCCTTTTGATGCAACCTTCAGAACTGTTTTAAACCCTCCCTTAGTAGGCTTCCCCCACGGTGAAACCGAAGGTCTACCTCCTTTAGTACGACCCTCACCTCCACCATGAGGATGATCCACTGGATTCATGGCAACACCACGAACAACAGGGCGCCTACCCATCCACCGACTCTGACCCGCTTTCTTAAGCTTTCTTGCACCATGTTCAGGATTAGAAACTATTCCAATAGTAGCCCTGCATCGAGAGTCAACCCATTTCTCAACACCCGAAGGCATCCGAACCAGACATTGCGCGTCTTGCTCCTTAATCACTTTAGCATAGGTTCCTGCAGATCGAGCCAGCTTTGCACCTTGACCCGGGCGCAACTCAATATCATGTACCCATGATCCCATTCTTATATCAATCAAAGTCATGCAATTACCCACTTGCAAACTCAAATCAAGCCTCTCATAGCTAATCTCATGTAGCTTCTTCTGCATATCAGCACCATGATCAACCAGCAAAAGCTTCTTGCTTTGCAAAGGTTTGGGCAAATCACAGTTCACAATAGTCTTCCCAGGCTCCAAATGATCGCTAGCTATAATATAACTGACAGGCACACAGCCCTCCTTTGGCCCTTTGCCTACTTTAGGCTTATAAGGAGCTGCATTTTGATAAAGAGACCGGGCATTAGATAAAGCATAGGAAAGCACTTGGGTTGGGAGCAAGTTACCATGTTCAAGCTTAGGTTTCGATTCCACAATCACCGAGCTTTGCCACGAAAGGGCTGCTTTCCGATCAATCGACCGAGTCTTCCACCTCCGGATCTCATCAAGAGTCAAATTCTCTCCAATGGCTTCCTCTCCCGCTGCTCGAGGAGCGAAAAATGCCGGCCTTGCTCCAGCTACAGCGATCCTCGGGAAACGAAACCCTAACAAACTGGGCAAAACAGTTGGATTCTCTCCCTTCGCATCTATGGGGAGAGTCGAGAGCGAGAAAACCGAGGAGATGGAAAATTCTAGAACTTTACTTTCCGCCGAGGGAGAGAGATCGTCGGTCTTCCTCTGACCTCGACGCAGGAGATTGACGCCGTCGATCCAGCGAACGAGGGCGACGCGAGAGGATCGATTGGGATCGTACTCAATCCTCTCCACGACTCCAGTCGCCGGAGTGTTGCGCTTGAGATCGACCGTTCGCTGGAGCCGCTTCGATCCGCCGCCGCGGTGGAAGGAGGTGATGCGGCCGGAGGAGTTCCTGCCGGCGGTCTTGCCGGTGGATTTCGATATCAAGGCTTTGAGGAGACGGTCTTTCGTCATTTTGTTCAGCCTATTCAAAAGAAATTTATATCATTTAAATGTCAAAAATTAAAATAATATGCAATTTATCTCAATATAATTTTAACCAAAAAACCTAATCCCAAAATTGTAAATCCTAAACCCTAGAATTGAACATTCTATGCGCTAAAAGTAAATTCCAGTGACAGCAATCATCATACAAAGTTAATTTTAACCAAAAAACCTAATCCCAAAATTGTAAATCCTAAACCCTAGAATTCAACATTCTATGCGCTAAAAGTTAATTGCAGTGATAACAATCATCATACAAAGTTAATTTTAACCAAAAAAAACTAATCCCAAAATTGTAAATCCTAAACCCTAGAATCGAACATTCTATGCGCTAAAAGTTAATTTCAGTGACAGCAATCATCATACAAAGCATTTGAACCACCTAGAGAGAAAAACCCTAGAAATTCATTTTTGAGAGAAAACCATAGATTTCAACATGTTAAAAGAGGAGAGAAGGAAAAGAAATTACCTAGAGATCTTGAGTAAACTTTTGATTCGAATTTCGGCCGCAGAAATGGGGTGAAAATTGAGATCCGATGCTTGGAGGAGGGAGAGCCGACGGAAGAGGAGAAGAGGGAGGCGGCAGATTGAGGTGGGTTTGGGGGAGTCGGGGCTCGGTGGGTTTATATAGTGCGGGGGCCCAGAATAAACTACTTCGGGAATTCGTTGGCCAGCTATTAAATTTCTTCGGGACTCAGAAGCATTTTTTTAGGGTCACTGCATATTAGTCCCTTAAATCATCTTTAATTGGTAAGAGAGTCCCTTAAATCTCATTATTTGCCAAAAAAAAAGTCTTTCAAATTATGTTTTTCATTGCCAAGTCATCCCTTTGGTAAGTGCAATTATTAATTACGTCATTAACTTTGATGGAAATGGATAAACAACTTGTTATACTTATACCCCATGCTACCATTTACAATCTGACCGACCCATTTGATAGTGGGCTAATACCCGCAACCCAAAACCCACCAAGCGTTATTCTTCAATGGTCATAACATCCCTAATGCCCTGTTTGGATGGAGGGTAGAGAGGGGGAGGGGAAGAGAAATGCAGCTTTCACCTTGTTTGGGAGTTTTTTTTAAGGAGGGTAGAGAGGAGGAAGGAAGGGGAACGAAGGGTAAAATTGCTTGGTTTTCTTCCCTCCCCCCGATTTGGGCGGTAGAGGAGGGTAAAGGGGTTAATGACATTCTTACCCCCATCAAAACAAATAAAAGGGCTGATGTGTTATTAGTATAAATTCATGGGGTTTTTCTTTTTTAACCCAAAGTTTTACCCCCACTTATTTAAAAACCCATTAACTTTTCCAAACATCAATACACCCATTGTATCTCACCCCACTTATTTCTAAACCCAATATGTATAATACACCCATTATTACTGTATTTATCCTCAAATTCACTACACAAGCTCTCTTCTTCCTTCCTCTTCTCCTTCAATGACCACCACCAACCTCCTCCTCTCCCCTTCCTTCACTTCCCCTCCTCCCTCAAACCCATCAACCTCTCCCTCCGCTGCCCTTTATCTCCCCTCGCCGCTATGTCACCCACCACCGTCAACCTCGAATCGGATGAACAGCCCACCAACGGTTTCGACATCGACTCCCCCCAGTTCGCCGACATGGAGGCAGGCAAGGATCTGAAGCACTTGTCGTCGCCCACCACCTGTTCGTTGAATTTACGCTTAGTGTTCTCTGATGTATGTCATGTGAGCTTGTAATCAATTTTTCAGATTTTGGAAAAGTGCAACTCTTTATAGTAAAGTGTTACATATTGTGATGATCTTTTGTAGTGGTGATGTGTAATTGTTGTTTCACGCTGTAACTATGTTCTTATTGTTGAAACTGTGTCGTTTCAGAGTTGAAATTGTATCGTTTTTTAGCAATGCAAACGTGTGATGACATGTAAGATGTGTTGTTTGATCAATTGATGATGTGCAAGATGTGTTGCTTGATCAATTCTTCACCTCAACGAGAGGTCGTCGCTCAATTTTCCAGCTTTAGGAAAAGTATAACTATTTATAGAAATGTATAGCACCTTATTGATAAAGTATAGCACCTTATGGTAAAGTATAGCACTTTATGGCAATAGTATAGCACATTATTGATAAAGTATAATACTTTATGATTTCTGGAATTTCTGCAACGTAATGGGATAAACCAAATCAGTTTTTTTCGGCGCAATGCGAACACTTGATGACGTGTAAAATGTGTTGCTTGATCAATTATTCACATCGACGAGAGGTCGTCGCTCAATTTTTTAGCTTTAGGAAAAGTATAGCTCTTTATAGAAATGTATAGCACATTATTGATAAAGTATAGCACATTATAATAAAGTATAGCACTTTATGGTAATAGTATAGCACCTTATTGATAAAGTATAGCACTTTATGGTTTCTGGAATTTCTTCAACGTAGTGGGATAAACCAAATCAGTTTTTTTTGGAGCAATGCGAACACTTGATGACGTGTAAGATGTGTTGCTTGATCAATTATTCACCTCGACGAGAGGTTGTCGCTCAATTTTCTAGCTTTGGGAAAAGTAGAGCTATTTATAGAAATGTATAGCACCTTATTGATAAAGTATAGCACCTTATGGTAAAGTATAGCACTTTATGGCAATAGTATAGCACCTTATTAATAAAGTATAGCACTTTATGATTTCTGGAATTTCTGCAACGTAGTGGGATAAACCAAATCAGTTCTTTTCGGAGCAATGCGAACACTTGATGACGTGTAAAATGTGTTGCTTGATCAATTATTCACATCGACGAGAGGTCGTCGCTCAATTTTTCATCTTTAGAAAAAGTATAGCTCTTTATAGAAATGTATAGCACCTTATTGATAAAGTATAGCACATTATGGCAAAGTATAGCACTTTATGGCAATAGTATAGCACATTATTGATAAAGTATAGCATTTTATGGCAATAGTATAGCAAATAAACATGTCTGTTCAAACGGTTATTACAACCGTTTGGACAAGTCAAAATAGCCCAAACGGTTTAAACCGTTTGGGATAATAAATCCAAACAGTTAAAATCATTTGGGCTCTTAAAAAATCCCAAACGGAGGTCCCAGACGGTTTGAACCGTTTGAGATATCTTACCCCAAACGGTTAAAACCGTTTGGGAGTTATGTTTAGGTTTTTAAAAGTCATTTTTCTGATCCGTTCTCCCCAAAATTTTCAACCCAGCACCAAAATCCCCAAAATTTTCAACCCAGCGCCAAAATCCCCAAAAAATTCACCGCACCCTCTCAAATCCCTAACCCCCTCCACCTCCCTCATCTCCCCAAAATTTCCAACCCGGTGACAATGCCTTGCGCTCACCTCCTCCCATCCCCTCGCTCCCCCCTCGCTCACCCGCCTCTCTCCTCCTCTCTCTTCGCTCGAAGCATCACTCTTAGCCTCCCCAGGGCGGTGACCGGACTCAGAACTTGGAGATGCCAAAAATCTAGGGTTTTGATGGCGTTGAATCCTTTGGCGGAGGGAAGAGACTCAGATGGGGACAGTGAAGATGAGGAAGAAGATGGAGGAGGAGGAGAAATGGTGAAGGACGCAGCTCCGGAGAGATGGGACATGCTTGGGTCTGGGCAAGCTATGGTGATTACTTTAGTTTTGATTTTGATGCTTTTTAGTTGGAAGCTTTTTCCCCCGGTTATTTTCTGTGCAGTTAGTTGTGTAAATGTTGGAACTTGTTTAATTTTGCTGCCTCAATTATCATTTTAAGTGCTGGTTTTAGATCTGAGTTCTCGAGATCAATGCCTGCAATTGCTGTGCCATATCTTACATTTTAGTTGAAGTTGAAACTATTGGAACAAAATATAAGTATCTCGAACTATTGATAAAAACTTCATGGGGGCTTATATCAGTATTTCCATTTATAAAATAAATACACGTCTTATATCAGGAATTCTATTATATGAAAATGGCATCAATGGCATTCTTGCTGATGAGATGGTAAGTCATGATACATGCTTAAATTTGTTTTGCACTGAGGTTTAGCTTTACTAAATGAAGTTTACCGACTCTTCTTATGTTAGTGTGAAATCTCTTGTAAGTTACTGTCATTTTCCCCTTGATACCGCAGTACACGATTGAGAAAAAGGTTATTGAGAGGGCATATAAGAAGCTGTTCTCTATATGCCTTGTTGTGGGAAATGTTATGGAAGGAGATAATTAAGCCCATGAACTAAACTAACTACATAACAAACTAGTTCAGACGTATATCTGAAAATTCACAGCTGTCCTTTTTTTACTTTACTTTTTATTTATGGATGTTTTTAAGTTTTTACTTCACTCCTGCTACCCCATAGTAAGAAAACCCCTATTCTCTAAAGGCCTGATACACGTGGCATCTGTTTTTGTACGTATTAATTTGTTTTTATTCTAATTTAAAATATTTTTGCTAGCTTGATAGCATGCAGAACATCATACAGGGAGTCTATAAGGACAAGGATGACGTTGCATCTCTTCCAACATGAATCATGTGATTTTAACTCATGGGAGTTCCATATTTATATTTAGTTCCGGTGGTAATTTCAACTGTGATTCTTCCTGTGGACCTGTACTAGTATTATTAAGCACTGAACTTGTCGATTAAAATCACTCAAACTAGAGTCTAACATAATTGATCTTTGTGATGTTAAAACAAAAAATTTCAAGCCACTAACTGTTTATGATTATACAGGTTTCCTCGCAAGCTCTGACTCACATCATTAAAACGAACCCACGTATGAGGTGTTTGAAAGCAGCATGCTGTAGGAACTTGTATCAATTCAAAGATAAGAGCATGCCAGATATTAGTAGTTCTACCAGTGAAGATCTCTTCCGTGAATTAGGCAAGACATGCATCCTGGAAGAAGTTGCATTTGGCTGGGGATTTTCTTCTTTTCAACTAGAAATGCTAAAACCTTCCATTAGCAAACTAAGAGCCATTACGTTTGGCCTTGGTGCATCACTAGACAATCAGACACTCTGTTGAGCTTTGACTGAAAACTGCCCGAGTTTAGTTGAGCTTTCATTGTGAGGGTGTAAACTTCTTGATTCAAGTAAGAAACTCATAATCTTTTTTTTACTACAGTTTTTGGCTGTCTAATACTCATTGGATTCATGTTTTACACTAATGTAATACGTATTAAGCATAGGATGCTGCTGTTGCACTTTGTAGGTTCTCAAGAAATCATTTCATCTGGTTGGCCAGGATTGACGTTAATCCACTTCGAGGTTTGTAGACTAGTTAAAGGTTTTCTTGTTTAGTGTTATGCACCATAAGTTAACCATGTAAATTCCATGTAAAGAGTCATTATTAGTACACAATTAACATGATAACTGTCACATCTTCTACTGCCATTTAGATTAGCTAATTGAATTCTTTCAATGTAAGTTGTTGTCAAGAGAAATTGTAGAAATTCTCATCAATTGTCAGAAATGCTAACAATCTGGCCTAATATTTGTGTAACGAATGTTTTATCTATCAGGATCAGAAAGGATAAATAAATCTTAAGGTCGTGCAGTTACTCTTAAAAATTCAAAGTTAGAACTTTTGGTTGAAATAGACTAGTTATTAATTATTATTATTTTTTACTTTTTTTGTCACT